TATCCCTAACAAAAAAAAAAACAAAAACAAAAACAAAAAACCTTTCATAATAAGTTATCTAACAGTGTTGTTATAAATACTATCTATATAATCTCACATTGCATGTACAGTACTGTACATGTTAATGAATACAATACTGTGCATTTGTTCACAAACAGCAAATTCAAACTAATCTCTTCAACCCTTGCACAAAAAATTGTGGTTGTCTATATACTATATACGTTTTCAAAGTCAACCATTCATACTAAGATAATATAAGTATATGATATTGTAAAATGGTATGACCATGGGCTTTAATGCAACATACTGTATAGTAGTACCGCTACAGAGTAATATGTAATACTCTTTATTACCTTATGATAGCAAAAGTAACATAAGTATTCAGGCCCGTAGCATCGTGTGGGGTAGGGGGGGTTTAAGGGGGTTACGACGAACCGCCCAAAAACTGGAGAAAGTCCGCATTTAAAAACGAAAAAATTTATATTCGTAGATACATTTACAATGTTCTCCAGATATCGGAGATCATACAAGCCAGAAGTATTTCAAGTCGGCATTTATCAGGCTTTCCCAGCTAACAATATTATGTTATTGTATAATAGTTTTCAAAGGGTCCACTTCCCACTGAAACGAACCTCACACCAATTAAGTCACACTACGGGCCTGGTATTCAAGGTTGATGAATGGTACTGTAATACTGTATTAACATAACATAATTAATGGTACTGTAGTCTATTAATGGTACTGTAGTCTCTAGCAAGGGAGGGGAGCAATTGTGTTGTAATATATATTGTTGCTTTCACCATGTGACATAAAGTAGTTTGCAAACTGTATTTAGCCTATGCAACAGTTATCAAGGAAATTTCCATGTAGTACAGTTAAACTTGCCCAAGTCCACTTTGACCTACTCAAATAATTTCTAAGTTGATCTTATTTTACATGCCAAATTTTTGCGTTTTCCATTAATTAACCATCCATAAGTCAAATTTCATCTAAGTCAAACAATTTTTCAATGCCGTTTTGGATTCGACATTTCAACTGTAGTCTGGAATACAAAATCTTTTCCATCAATTAAAAACAAAAGTTTTTTTTTTTTTTTTTTTTTACTGATGTAAACTATTTTTAGTTACTCTGTGGTAATGATAAACTTCATAACAAGTGGTAGTGGTATTTCTGACTTAAGTAAGGTGACTGCAAATTCTTCTGCCTCAAATTAGGTAACCATCAAGGAAATAAAATAGTTTTATTATTTTTTTAATACAAATATAGATAATATATTCATTTTTGTATAACAACATTATTAAAACAATGTATATGTAAATGATGAGCATGATAATTTTACAAGCAAAAACTGTAATCATGAGCAATATCATATTGATTAAGGAATGTTTATACTTAAGCCTCAGTGTGTATAATGCTAATTGAAAGTTTATACAGAAATAACTACACAGTTTAAAACTAAAATATATTGTAACATATTTCTAGCAAAAAACGTTCAAAATTACAGTACTTTCTAATAAATTCGTATCGTTTTTTGAAAATGAAGTTATCAAATCTGTGTTGCTTTTTCTAGGCTCTTGGTGGCGTCCTTCAATTTACCAACTAAATCCTGTGGAGACAATCATCAAGATATTTAGTATGTGGCAACTTACTAGGTGGAGAATACAATAAAAGTAATAGAAAGTATTACTTACTGGCTATAGTAACTCAAATTAGTCTATCTTTACTTTTAGGCTTGAATACCGCCCTCACTAACTACAGTATAACAAAAACAAACAGGCATTGTAACATCTAAGTATCCACTTCCAAATATGTTACTGACCTGAAGTTGTTCTAATGTGCACCCAAACTGAACATCTTTTAATTGACTGCTTCCATTCTCTTCTGTCTTTAATGTTATCAAATAAGTTGGTTTATTCACTTTATCTAAATAGTTATTCTGAAAAACAAAAAAACAAAAAAAAATCAACATACTTTAAATAAAATAACATTATAATCAATAATTGTAACTACAGTAAACCCAAGAATTGCAAAATTGGTTAAATATAATTGATTTAAATTATGATATATTAATTGTAGGAGGAGCAATACCTTCATATAGTAATCTAATCGCCAATCAACATCAACAACATGTGCTGGAGTTTTCCCTATTCTTGACAGCATGGCTCTCAAGGCTGGCTTTTTCTCTTTAAAAATTTTGTTAAACATTTCTGTTCTATCAGCGGAAAACTTGCAATCTTCTAATAAGGAACTAGACAGAAATAAAGCCGTCAAGAGAAATTCATAAATCATTAAAAAAAGTAACAGATATTGCTCAAGCTTTTGTTAGTACTTTCCTCAGGTGCATGAAGCTATAAGCAGCTGTAAAAATATAAATTCATATCATAAGGCTAACAATTAAAAGTAAGTAATATTTTAAACTAGGACTCTGTCACCACCAAATACAACCGACAAACTAGAAGAACATAGTCGAATACAATAGACCCCCAAGAGAGTAACTCCTTTGGATAGGCTAATAATACATTTTATGAATAATAAAGGAGGTTTAGTTCTTCCTATTTATTTACTGTACTTGTCTTTCATTGGACTCTAACATAGCTACACAATAAATTACCTTTTATAGGAAATATGAAGGGAATTCTATTTGATTTAATACATAAAGTGAAAATGACCTTTAATGACCTTTTGAGCTTGGCACTGTTACAATGAAAAGCATTCCCAAGAAGGTAATTTACATAGTAATGTACACAATTAAAGAATGCTTTATTGTCACAAAAGTTTTTGCCTAAAACATTTAGGCAGGTAGCTTACCCAGGGGCGGAGGTGTCCAAAATGGGGCTGATCAAGATAATACTACCCTAGGGGGTCCAGGCAAATTCTCCTCAAAATTTTCCCATTCTAGACGCCTGAAAATAACCTCTAAGGCGTTGTGGGCGATCAATTTTTTCTTTTTCTTCCTTTCTTTTTTTTACCTTCCAAAAGGTGGGGGGGGGGACTCCCTAAAATCTGCCCCTGGCTTGCCTGTGATTGCTCAAACCCCTATCAACCAAATGCAAACTGAGGATTAAAAGAATAAAAGCAGTGGTGGCTCCGACATATTCACCAGCGGGGTATGAACCAAGGGGCCAAATAGAGCCTCAGTCTGGATTCCGGAATAAAAATTACTGACAGGGTTCATGCGGGAGTTTTTATGGCTTAGTAGGCCCAAAACATTGTGCTTTTAGACCACAATATTAGAGATTGGTCATCAAAATAACGTTATTTAGATAGGCAAATTAATTTTTGGTCCAATGGATTAAATCCTTTATCCCTCTTCATACTTTAAAACAATATGAATGATATTTTACATTGTCTAATGCAAACATCTGTAGGGTTATTTCTAATACTTTACCTTATGTTTGAAGCAGATGCATCATACTTCGCAGCTTCTAAAGTAAATGTAGCTAATGCACCATAGGACTGCTTGTATATAGCTGCTTCAATCCCTGACACCTCCCCATCACCTACCAATGAAATCAAAGATTTCCTTTAATCAACAAGCAACTCAAACATACTTCAAAAAATTTCTAGGTAAACGTGAGTGCGCAAAATCGTAACTATTGTGAATACATTAGTTGTATGCAGGCCAAGGTCTACAGTAAGATTCTGCACCAAAATCAGCCTTTATTTTCAAAATGCGCAGATGGATTTATAGGCGTAAATTATCTACTGCTCAAATCCTATTTTACAGTCTGAATAGCAGATTTTGCCAAAGGATACAGAATCATAGAAAAGGACTATTGTATTGTACATTAGGAAAGAAGGATTATTTTGGAAACAACTGTGATTTTTGGCATGATGGATTGAAGTCTTTCGGGATCCTATTTCAGAAACTTCGGAGGAGAAATGGAGAAAATGATATTTTATGTATTTATTTTTTTTTTTTTGCCTGCAGCTGAAAGTAATATTAATAATAAGCCTACCTATGCCATGGACACACCGAAATGCATTGCAGATGGTTGAACACATTGAAGACATTTTAAGGCCAACTCAGACAGCGTCGTACGACGCAGCCCGACGCGATTTGTTGTCGCGTCGGGTCTGAGTGAGTTAAACGCAGACGCGATGGTGTGCGTCGGGGGCAGTCACGTCGTAGAATATTAAACATGTTTAATAATTCGTCGGCTGACACTGTCTGAGTTGGCCTTTACAGCTGAGTTACTACTACTCTAGCCTTGATCTTGGCACATTTGTACATGGTCCACACCTTTTATTTTACTTTAGGAAGTGGATATATTTACATGACATAAAAAAATCAGTATAACGATATAGTTACATTAAATAAATAAAATATACGCAGTCATACTTTCGTAAACTTGCATTATCAGTCACGTAAATTTATCGATTCTGGTTAATCAGCGTCGGTCCAAGCCGCACACTGATTTGATTATAATTTTGTTTTTATTATTAAATGTAATCTAATTTCCTACAATAGTATGTACTTCAAACATCATTAAATAAATTATTAAACCATTGTGATAACTTTTCGAATAAAAGTAATATGATCATCTGGAAATATTTGTGTTCTTTTCATTTTACTCTTACTACATTTTACATTATTTGTTGAATGAATACACATGATAAGGTACAATACTAGGCCTACGCCAAAACATGGAGGTTCCCTGCTAAATCTAGCACTCAATTATCACGACATCAAAACTATATTCTTCTAGGCCTAAGCTTGTAATGTTGTAGTCAATCATCACAAAGAAAATAAAATTTTAATTTTTTTCATTCAACAACATTTACCGACACTAACAAAAACAACATTGTTATTAGTCTTTAGTCGGGTTAAGAGTCGAGCTGCTAGCCCCAATCGAGCGTGAAGAACATCGAGAAAGACCACGTTTAGAGAGCATGTGATCCACCTCTACAAAGTATGCTATGAAACAAGAAGTTAACAACATGTGTGTATTTTCTGTAAGATACAGAATAAAGCAAAACCAAACAAATCTTTTTAATGTTATATTCAAACACATTTGCTACGTCGTCACAAAAACAAGATTGGCAGTTCCTAGAGTGTGAATAACATGCTCTATAAACTTGGCCTTTTTCAATGTTCTTCTTCGCACTCGATTGGGGCTAGTGGCTTGATTCTCGACCCAACTAGACTATATTGTAACAATGTTGTTGTTTTTGTTAGTGTCTGTAAATTTGTTTGAATGAAGACATTAAAATGTTATTCAACAAATGACATGAGTACAATGAAAAGAACACAAATATTTCCAGCTGATAATGTCACTTATATTTTTGAAAAGTTATAACAATGATTTAATAATTTATTTAATAATACTACATACTATAGACCCCTTGCAATGTTTACATTGGACCTGGCTGAAACGCTGGCGGCGCCCTAAACATTGCAAGGGATCTATTGTAGAAAAATTTAAAAAATAAATTACGCTTAATAATAAAATCAAAATTATAATTAAAATTAAATCAGTGTCGTGGTTAGCTTGGGCCGACGCTAATTTCGAGTGCTGAAAGTTGAATTCACATTAACCTACATTTTACCAAATAAAGAATCAATAAATTTACGTGACCGATGATGCATTATTTCACGCAAAGATATCGTTCACTGATTTGTTTACGGTCACGTAAATATATCCTATGGACGTTAAAATTATCAATAATGATTAGGTCTAGGGCCTAGGTCGTTTCTTTTTTTTAGCCCAGACCTACGGATCACACAGGCAGGATAGGCGAATTCGATCCAACTCGGCCACAGTCAACTCGGCCACAAAAAGTTTGGCTACAGTCAACTCGGCCACAAGTCAACTCGGCCACGAGTCATCTGGGCCACAAATCAACTCGGCCACAAGTCATTTACTGGTCAACTCGGCCATAAGTCATTTACTGGTACTACATTTTACTAATTGTTATTATTATTGCTGTTATTATTGTTGTCATTGTTGTTATTATTGTTTTTTTTATTACCGTTAGTTTTAATATTATTAGTCTTAGCATTAACATTATATATTGTTCAAATTTTTGCTATTATTATTATTACATATACATATATAGTACAGTACATATATTTATAGTACCATATAAATAATAAATAATTTTCGATTTTTTATTATTATTATTCATATTATTATTATTATTTATTAGTCTTAGTATTATAATTTTAATAATAGTAATTTAAAAAGTTGTTGTTATTGGCGTTTTATTAGTATTTTTCTCATATTATTATTAATATTATTGTTTCTTGTTGTCACCTTTATTATTGATATTATTACCCTATTATTACTAAGTAGGCCTAGTATTATAAGTATCATTATTATTATTATTACCAATTAGTATTACTATTATTATAAAAATCAACATTATCTTTTAAAATTTATTATTGTATTATTGCTATTATCACCTTCAATATCATTATTATCACTAATTAGTTACTAAAATTGATATTTAAATATCATTATTATTACCATACTAGTATTATTACAATTTGTTAAAATAAATATTACTACAGTATTAATGTCGTTGTTGTTATTATCACATTTATTATCGTCATAATGACTAATTAGTATTATTAATGTAAATATTACTAATTTATTGTCGTTATTGTTGTTTAATATTATTGTTGAAGTAGAATGTTGTGAGTAAACAGAAGACGAACACATTAATAAATAACTCTTTTTAATTCATAGGCAACAGCATTCAAATCTCTTTAGTAGTGTGGTGGTCCTGTTTTACTAAAACATACTGTGTACTTTATTTCAATCATATATTGAAGAAAAAGGATGCAAAAACTTAGATTTACATTAAATAACTTGTGGCCGAGTTGACTTGTGGCCGAGTTGATTTGTGGCCGAGTTGACCCGGATAGGCCTAGGCCCACCTCTCAAGCAACCCGTGACCGGCGGCGGGTGTGTGTGTATGGAAGGCCAGGCCTAGGCCTAGGCCTAGGCTAGGCTAGCCTACAAAAAAAATCTGCTTGTGAATTACACATCGAAAGGTTACTATATACCTGACTTACTCCCCAATAAATCTTCAATAACAACATTTATTAAGGACTTGAAAGAATCGTCTTTAATATGGACCGAATCTCCGCAAATTTGTAAACTTTGTAACAGTTCTGCACTAAGCTCCATCTTTTTATGTTTATCATCAGCAGCTAGCAGTTGACCTTTGCGTAGTATACTATTAAAGCAAGGTGAGAGAATCAGTGGCGGATCCAGTAAACGGAAAGCTGAATATTCATAGATTCTTCTCATGTAAAATATATGAATTCCCATTGAATGAAAAACAAATTCACCATCAAAACACCAATTTCAATATGAATTAAATGATACAATCCTGTCTAGGAATTACGCACAAAAAAAAAAAAAAAAAAAAAAAAAAAAATTGTT